TATACCAGTGCAGTGCCCACCATGTTCTGAGGTTAGTAATACTTCCTCATTGTGTCCGACCGAAGCACAAACTTACAACAGGACAAGGAACATGTAATCCCTCCACATATATGGAACAGATTTACCTCTAATAAAAAGTACAGAGAAATGCTGTTTCTCACATGACACAATGTGACAGGATGCAAATTTTCAGCTATATGGGTATTTTATATCAATAATTAAGTATAGTTAATTCTTTTTATTACACAAATATGAGCATATGATTAGAAAGAAAAATTATGACAACAATAATTGAATTATATACTAATCTAAAAAACCAATGATCCAGTGAGAGTATTTTTAGATCATTCTTTGGCCCATGTGATGAACTAATAGCTACAGAAATCAATGAAACTGAAAAATGCATTGTTGTTTAAAAAAAATGATACTCACAATGGGACTCCAAATTTGCCCCAACCTTCACCTGAATGGAAGAAAAAAGAGCAACACACATTGATGAGGCATGATGTTAACAGGAAGAGTTTGTTCACTTACAGGGCTACACCCGGGGTTACAATGCCTCTTCTTGTGCATGTACTTGTGTTACTTGTGACACCGATGAGTTCCGCTGTGGAAATGGCCAGTGTATCCCTATAACGGCCAAGTGTGACGGCGTCATTGACTGTATTAATGATGAACACAATTGTGGTAGGTTGCTTGATATCCTTTAACAATATGACCTCAATCTTACTTCATTTGAGTATTTGTCATTTCTCAGCTGCTGCATTCTAGGGTAGCTGGTTTAGGAAAGAGAAACATCATTTCCTTAATGACATTGTCACCCCCAAACAAAGTGGGGGGACCTATTGTTTTTACTCTTTATCTTTATTGTTATTAGTAATCTTACAAACTAACCCGTAGTATTTATATATTAGTGTTATTTAATATGGAATGCAAGAAATCGTGTGTTTTAATGGAATAAATGCCGCTAGCCATGATCTTCAACGGAACACTTGGATAAAGATACATCCTTGATGAACTGGTAAACACAAATTCTGGTGGAAACTGGATTCAGATGTATTGGTTTTGTTTCAATATTGCAGTAATTAATTGCCTTTGGTTTCAGATTCTATGTCATTAGTCATACCATCAGTCAGTTTGCGTTGTTAGCAACATTGAAAGCTGTTGAATGTTTCTACATTTGAAACTATACAGCTACAACTGTTTGTTTCCCCTTATATAAGCAAGCACCCAATAAATGATCTGGGTACATGCTTGCTACTTAAGGAAAAAGTAGTCAGTCGATCTGGAGTCCATTTTCTGAGTTAACAAAATGGCTGCAGAAGGAAGCATCTAATTGGTAGTGAATTCATATTGTCTGATTTTGATGAAAATTGCTAAAAAGTTATGTCTGACAAAACAAACACAATGATAATGATCTTCTTCTTATTGGATAAAATGCCTGCACCGCAGACGGCTAATGCATTGAAATTAAAATATTGCTTGATTTTTATCACATTTCATATCGATCTTGATCAAACACTATGTACCCACATCAATTATGACTGTGTTAAATAGATTTTTTTTTCGTCATCTACATGGCGCTGTGAAGGTGGAAAAAAATTCTGTGAGAACCAATATTAATACAGATGAACAAGGTAGGAGACTGACACATCACTACTTTGAATAGAGAGATTCTATCAACATACTTTTGAGGAGAGATGCTGTCCTGTGTCAATACCTCACAGACCTGTAATATTTTTCCAACTTTCAGCAATAATGAGAATATGGACTAGTCTCCTACCATTCCTTATCAATAGCTGTGAAATGCTTGCATTGACGAGAAGGGAATTTGGCAAAAATAGGTCAGATATGAGTAAAATATGAGTAGTGGATGAAATGATAGGAAGTTCATCATACTGCATGTACTTCTATGATCAATCACATGTATTATGTTTTTATTGTAGTTGGAAATTATTTTGATGTGCAAATGTTTAAGCTGTTTTACTCAGTATATTATGTACCATGTTTTCAGATGTAACCCCAATGTTCACACTACCAGGAACTCCCACTGCTGCACCACCAGGAGGTGCTCAAGGAACACCCACACAAGGACCAAATACTGGCAAGATCACACCCACTCGTGCACCTGGAATTTATACCAAGCCACCCCCAGGCCATGACTTATATACTCCAGGACCACCTAGTAAGTACTCCAGACATATCTCAAAAATTCATAAAAAGACAGCCCAGCCCTTGATTTATATTTCACTACAGGGACAATTTCTTCAAAGCTAGTATTCTGCTAGAAATTGCTGTAATTCTCATTAATATTTAAACAACTCAAATATATTAATTTTCTTTGTCTATACATTTATTTATTTAATGGGTTTTACATCCACTTTTATGGCCTTTTGGCCTTTCAGCAGACAGGAAAAGATAGGAAAGTGAGTAGAGAGGAAATAGTTTGAAGTGATGTGAGAGAGTGGGATACATATTGTGAATTTATGTTCTCGAAAGTATGACAATATCTTTGAGATGTTTTCTCTTTCAGCTTGTGTTAGCGGCTGGTTGCCATGGTACAATGAAAACAATAGGACCTCTGAAGGAGACTTTGAGCCATCTGCTGCTTTGTATCAGAAGCATACTGGGGCCTGTGCTGGAGGATCATTGGACCGCATTGAATGTTACTCTATAGACATGGATGCTCCGTCATATTCAACAGGGGAGGTAATTCAGTGTACCACCGCTATTGGCCTGAGGTGTCAGGATATGGACAATTTCCCTATACCTTGTTCTAACTACAAGATCAGATACCACTGTCAGTGTTCAACAGGTAAGGAATAAATCTTGTCTATCCATTTTCTCATTCAGAATATCTTTCATTTTCTTTTTATGAAATTTGGTATAAACTTGCAGACATAGAATCATGATCTAAATAATTTTTCCTGTTCATCTACATTCAAAGATGTTTTTGACAAAAATGATTAAAAATGAAATTGATTTACAAATTTAAGAATACTGCTGATGTCTGCTATTTAGTTCTTCTTTGTTGCAGCTTTTTCTTTGGAAAATCTGTCCTGATAAATATTTCTCCTGATCTTTTAATAATCCTAAGAAATAAGATCTTGATGGATACTTTCCGTTTCAGCGGTAACGCCCAACCCTACCCCAGCAGTGACAGCCACACCAACCTCAGGTAAGAACAGCTTCAGCAATAGCTCATTGTTATTAGGCCAGTATTGAGATATTTTACAGCTTTGTTTTGGATAAATGTGTCACTGGGCCTATATTGGATAGGTTTCATGGATTTTTTTTCAAAGTCTTGTGGATTATCTACAAACTTGAAGAAAGATATGGTGTAACTACATATTAGTGTTTGTAATAAGATTTTGAGAATTTGTATATTATAGGGTTATTATGTTAAAAAAACTGAGATTTGTACCCTTATGGAGCACTGCTATAAATGTTAGTAGTGTTACTCCATCCCAAACAGATGTCATCACTTTAGTTAATGTATTTCTTTATAAGTTATGATCAAATCTCATAAATTAAACAAGTATTTATTAATGCCTTAGATTTGTTGGTGTTCAAAGATCAAGGGCAGCTGTTATTATTCATAGAAAATAATTTGCTAATCATTTAACCACCCATTGATGACATTAGCAACTAGTTCAAGTTCCTATGAATTTATTTGTAATAAAGATCAGTTTTGTTTGCCAGCGATTCATTTTACCAACTTCATGTTTTAGACCATTGTATGACAACTACCTGTCAGCCAGTAGTAATGCCATTCCTACAGGAAGGTGAGGTTGCCCAGATTGTGAAAACAGAAGATGGCTGTTGTGACCGCTACCAGGTGGTGTGCAAGCCTGACCAATGTAGCACCTCCCAAACCACATGCACTACACCTAATGTCATGGCTGCCATCAATCCGGGCGAGTGCTGCCTTCGTTTTAGATGTGGTGAGTGTGAACAAAACATTGAGATAGCAACAAAATTTCCTAGGTGTAAGATGCATGAATTGTAATCGCAAGGAGTACCTCTGAGAACTCTGCTGTATAAACATCATTCTGATCTGATCTGCTCAGGTTGCCTTGAGACTTTACAGGTTCTGAGTTATCTCAAAATTTAACATGTAAAGGTCATTCCATGGTTTGTCAACATTAGGCTTTGAAAATGTTTAATAACCTGTGTGAGTATTTATGTAGGATCATGGTTGCTATAAATCAAGATTATTGGTGGTTGAGGACCATTCGAGCCCTCTATATCAGACTCACAATAAAGAAATATATTTTTTCAAGTGTTTCTATCTGGTGTACATGTACATTGTTGTCTGATTTTTAATTGTTGCTTTGTAATTGATCAGGACAAACCCTAGACAATTTACAGGATTGTACTACATAACATTGCCCATTTTCCAATCTCTCCTTTGTTGTTTACAGAATGTCCGACCTCCTGTCCAACCCCAACTCGTCCTACTTGTCGCTCAGGATCAACCATCACAATGATTGAAACTGACTGTAATTGCACAAGTTATGCCTGTGGTAAGTTACCAGCATAAGTCAAACGATTCTGTCAGTTAGGCAATTCTGATGACTATTTTGGATTATTCTGTTTATTTTAAGATAAGCAATATATATGTAAGTTTAAGATTTGCCATTATTTATGTTCCTGTATAATTTTATATCATATGTTTACAGTGCCCAAGCCTATTCCCACTCGGCAACCGAAAATCTGTCGCTACACAATGGAGTTTGTTAATGAAACTGCCGTACCTAACTCTACACCATATGCAATCACATACCATGTAAGTCAGTGTGTCACCATCACTTATCTCTCTTTTGTTACAGACAGTAAGGACAGACATGCTAACTGTTCTGGGTAGGGATATCTTGACCTTGTAAAATTTGATGCTCTGCTGGCTGAGCTCTCACAGCCTAACTGATTTAGTGCAAGTGCTTTGACAACAAAGAGTGATTGAGTTTTAATACTTGTTTAGGTTGGAGAGACCTGGAAAGATGGACTGTGTAAAACATGCCAGTGTACCCTTGAAAGCACCGATGAAAGTAGTGAGACCATATGTCACACGCAGACATGTCCTGACTGTAAACTGGTAAGTCATTTAATGTGCATGATTGTTCATGCTAAAGGATTCAGTATTCATTGTCAACAGAGTGATGTAGACAAGGTTATTTCATCCTTACGGTAAGATTTTATAAAGTTTAAAGAGAGATTTCGCTGTGTGCTGATTTTTAAAATCTTACCTAGAGGGTTGAGATTTTCTTCAATCAAATCACAGAAGTGATCACTTATTTTTGTCTGACTTAATCTGTTTTTGTGATGTCATATATGGCCCAGGAACTGTATGATGATGTACATGTCTCTAACAATCTGATGTTTGTTTCACAGGGAGAAGAACGAGTCAATGCTACAGACCAGTGCTGTGGTCAATGTAAGTCTGTTGGCTGTGCTGCCAATGGTCAAGTCTACAAGGTAAGGACAACAGTCACCAATATCATAATCTCAACAATTTTGTTAACTTTACAATGGAAGTGACACATTTTGTTTTGTATGCCTCAATGATGTGAGATGATATCCAATTATGAGAAGTTTTCAGGACATCAGTTACAATTCTTGTTCTCATTTCCCTTTTTCCTGTCATTTCTTTAACCTCATTGTTGTATTTCTTAATATTCATTCATTCCCAACAGTGTTCATATCAGAAAATTAATAATTTATGATATTTATATTCATGGATTGTGTGAATTAAGTAAAATTGAAATGACACGGTCATATCAGCCTTTCATGCTTCAATCATCTGTCTAGTGACCTTAAAGGCTACTGGTTCTTAGGCCTAAACATAAGACTACACATTGTAATTAAACCTCTTTATGAAGACCACCTGCCTTTAACGGTCAGGTTTGACTATACCTTGTATTCACATTCGATGATTTTAGGGTGGAGAATCCATACCAGGGGCTCAGCAATGTTACTCTAAAGTATGCGAGTTTGATGTGAACAGTGCCAGCTATCTGATTCGTGAAACCCAGCTGGACTGTCGCACTGATAATTTGCCAACATGTCAAGGAGTAAGTTGATAATACTTTCTGGAATCTGAGAGGGAACTTGCTGTTAGGTAGCCTGACCATGGCACATTTAAATAAAAATCATTTTGCTTTATATAAATAAAACATGAAAACAATTCATGAAAGTTTTCTTTATACTCTGTTTATCCTGTGGCAAGCCTGTGCTTAAAGATAGGTCGAGACAAGTCAATCACATTGGGGTATATATATTTGTAAATGTTATTGTTCAGAATTGTTGATAAATTTTGTGATTTATCAGGGCAAAAACTTACAGACAGCATATTGTATTTGTTCTGTGTCAGCAGTGCTTTGACAAATCTGATATGTACATGTATTAAGACAAACATAGATTAGAAATTGTCCTTTTTTATTTGTAAACATCAAGAAAATAGTTCTCTCTTTATTGAATTTTTTTTTCAGAACCAGACAAAATATGACAGCACTGGATGTTGCAAAACTTGCATTGTTAGAGGTAAGTTTATAGACGAATTTTTATCTATTTGGTTTTGTTTTCCTTGATGCTTTTTCAGTAAAATATCAACACAGAATGAATGATATGTAGTTGACTTCAGACTAGAGTTAATTACCTTAGCAAATTTCTAAGTATTCGCATATAATACTATAGTATAAGACTAAACTTAGTATGTTTAATTTCTTAAACTTCTGACAAGTTTAATCTTAGCATGTGTGATGTCCAAGACTTCGGACAAGACTGACCTTAGTATGTTTGATTTCTAAGACTTTGGACAAGACTGACCTAAGCATGTTTGATGTCTAAGACTTCGGACAAGACTGACCTAAGCATGTTTGATGTCTAAGACTTAGGACAAGACTGACCTAAGCATGTTTGATGTCTAAGACTTAGGACAAGACTGACCTAAGTATGTTTGATGTCGAAGACTTCGGACAAGACTGACCTAAGTATGTTTGATTTCTAAGACTTTGGACAAGACTGACCTAAGCATGTTTGATGTCTAAGACTTAGGACAAGACTGACCTTAGTATGTTTGATTTCTAAGACTTTGGACAAGACTGACCTAAACATGTTTGATTTCTAAGAATTAGGACAAGACTGACCTAAGCATGTTTGATTTCTAAGACTTCGGACAAGACTGACCTAAGTATGTTTGATTTCTAAGACTTAGGACAAGACTGACCTTAGTATGTTTGATTTCTAAGAATCCAAATCAAGTGCAAGTTGACTTAAAATCACTTGTATATGAATGTTAGTTGAATAAGATTTGTTTTTTTTGTTTTAGCCACTGCTAGTCAGACGTGTTCAGAATGTTCTCCACGTCTAATGTTTGGTCAGCCTGCTGCTACGGTAGGGTTTTTCAAGGTTACAAGAAACAATACCATATGTCAGAACTCTGCCCCTATCCAAGATCTCACTGAATGTTCTGGATACTGTCAGTCACGTGCTAAGTACACAACACTGATGCGTGGCTTTGACAACAAGTGCAATTGCTGTCAACCTCAACACACTATCACACGCAATGTCACATTGAATTGCACTGATGGCACAACATTTGCCAAGACCTACACGGTGCCGACATCATGTGGTTGTAGTGCATGCACAGGCGGAGCCTAAAAATCTATCAATATGGAGAGGACCTACCAGAGGAAAACTTACCTATGAATGATACAAGGACTAGAAAACTGTAGTGTAATATCTCTAGGGCTATGGATACACCAAAAGGTGGAATGAGCTGGCCCTATTTTTGTTTATTGAGGGTAAAAATATGAATCTCTACTAGAAAATGTCAGCCCTCATCTCATTTTACTTGTACTATGTATTTCACCCCTAATAAATTATTAACATGCTCCTATCTTGTTGTAGTGATGTTTTGATGGATCGGTCTAATTAAGACACTGGGGTCTTGAGAAATGCTTGATGCACATTTCTTATATTGATAACTATCACATGATTGCTGAAATAAAGCCCGGTTTACTGTGACATCAGGAGAGCATACAGGAATGGCACAGACTTCATTATGTTGTTTCAGTAGGGGCCATGTATTATAAAATGTAAAGATGAGAGATCTTCAGGAATGAGAGCAAAAAACACATTTTCTGAAATATTTGTTAAAATTATTGATTATCTCATAAAAGGATGTAAAATTTGTACTCTCTTCATATCTGATTAATGAAACTGAATTGTCAAAAAGTTGCATTTTACCTTAACAGAGGTCATTGTTAAAAGAAAATTCTAAATACTTGCTTTATCAATCTCATATGAAACCAACACAACACAAAAAAAAAACCCGTTTTTATCTCTATTGTCATACAAGGTATTTGTTGTCCATCTGTCTATCAACTTTTTTCTACAAGTCAATACTAGTCATAAATGACTGCGATTTTAACCAAATTTTGTCAGAAGCATCCTTGGGGGAAGAAAAAACAAATTTGTATAAATGGTGGATTCAAGCCCCAAGAGGCTTGAGGGATAGGGCTCAAAAGGGTAAAAAGAGCAAATTCTTTAAAATCCTCCAACTGTTGTAGGAATTATTGAATTTTCTCCAAATTTGGTCTGATACATTCTTGGAAGAAATGTAATCATTTTTTTGTATAAACAGTAGGTATTGGCCCCACAGGGCTTGAGGGATGGAGCCCAATACGGGAAATAAGCATATTCTTCAAAATCCTTCTTTCCTGTAGGAATGATTGGATTTTGCCCAAATATTGGTCGGAGCATTGTTTAGGCCAAGGGGAATCATTTTTGTGTAAACATTGGGTGCCAGCCCCCTGGGATGGAAGGGGCCGGGCCTAATTGGAGAAATGGGACAAATTTTTTTAAATGCTTCTATAGGAATGATTGAATTGTACCTAAATTTGGTCTGAAACATCTTTTGGGGAAGGAGAATCAATTTTGTATAAACGGTGGGTCAGGACTCTCGGGGCAGGGTCAAGTGGAGGAAATTGGGCATATTCGTTAAAAATCCTACTTTCCTGTAGGAATAATTTGGTCTGAAGCATGAATGGTTTGTCTGAGCCCCTATGGACAGAGGGTTGGTATCCAATAGGACAACATATGTTTTGTGTTGTTTACATGAATAATTAGATTTCCTTTTTCTTTAATTCTAATGAAGCAATTTCAGCCGAACATAGCCAGGTTAGCTGTACACGCCCTTTTTTAAGTGGTAAAACATCTAAAGATGAAAATGAAAGCCCTCATGTTTCACAGTTCATCCTTTTTTCTTAGTCTGATTCAATACCATTGTAATATATATCTCTACCACGAGGTCAATGATGCAAAATTACGCAAGGAACAAGTGAACTATAATACAGAACAGAACTATTTGTCTGTCTCATGCCACAGACAAATCCATTATTGTATTCTAATGAATATGTAAATGAAAGCATTTCACTGAGAAAACAAAATCTAATTTCATTGTAATAGGCACTATCGAATTTGAACGAAAGCAACATAATTATATATATATATGTATTGACGTTAATATTTACAGAATGTACCAAGAGATAGGTCAGAAACTTAGGGAGGGGATGTCTGGACAAAATTTAAATGCTGAAACACACTATAGGTCATTCGAAAATTGTATCAAACTGCTATTCAGGATAACAGTTTCATATCGTGGTTACACAATGTACCGTGCTTCAAAGAAATTAGTTAAAACTGGAAGAAATTTCCCTACAAAAATATTGGGAAAACAAACGTCAATTTCTCCAGGAACTGTTCAGTGAAGTCGCCGTCCAGAACTATAGTTATAAACACATGAAATAGAGATCAGTTGAAAACAGAGATCCCTGTGAAAAATAATAAGATTATGAAATTATCAAAAAGAGGGCAGTAACTGTGGTTGTATAATCTCAAATACAGTCGAATCCAAACGTTGTTCAAGAAAGCTTCATATCAACATTATGGTGGTATATTTAAGTCTACCTTGTTTGAAAGAGATCGCTGACAGCTTTAAGAGATCTCCGGACAAACTTCACGACCGACGAACGGACAATTTTTATATCATGAAACTAACGTCATGCTTTTTGCTACAAAATTATTAGTTTTTGTCTATAACAGTGTTACGATAAAACTGGCCAAAATTGGTACCTTTCCATGTAAGCATTATTAGATGTGAGTTGGTCTACGTACACAATGGACATCAATTCCCTTGTGAAAAATGTCTCCATCCCCGAATTGTATCAATTCCCTTGTGAAAAATGTCTCCATCCCCGAGTTGTATCAATTCCCTTGTGAAAAATGTCTCCATCCCCGAGTTGTATCAATTCCCTTGTGAAAAATGTCTCCATACCCGAGTTGTATCAATTCCCTTGTGAAAAATGGCTCCATCCCCGAGTTGGTATACAATTCCCTTGTGAAAAATGTCTCCATACCCGAGTTGTGTACATACACAATGGACATTAATTCCCTTGTGAAAAATGTCTCCATCCCCGAGTTGGTATACGTACACAACGGACATCAATTCCCTTGTGAAAAATGTCTCCATCCCCGAGTTGTGTACGTACACAATGGACATCAATTCCCTTGTGAAAAATGTCTCCATCCCCGAGTTGGTCTACGTACACAATGGACATCAATTCCCTTGTGAAAAATGTCTCCAACCCCGAGTTGGTATACGTACACAATGGACATTAATTCCCTTGTGAAAAATGTCTCCATCCCCGAGTTGTATCAATTCCCTTGTGAAAAATGTCTCCATCCCCGAGTTGGTATACGTACACAACGGACATCAATTCCCTTGTGAAAAATGTCTCCATCCCCGAGTTGTATCAATTCCCTTGTGAAAAATGTCTCCATCCCCGAGTTGGTATACGTACACAACGGACATCAATTCCCTTGTGAAAAATGTCTCCATCCCCGAGTTGGTATACGTACACAAAAGAAGCAATGGACATCAATTCCCTTGTGAAAAATGTCTCCATCCCCGAGTTGGTATACGTACACAACGGACATCAATTCCCTTGTGAATAATGTATCCATCCCCGAGTTGGTCTACGTACACAATGGACATCAATTCCCTTGTGAAAAATGTCATATATTACATGAAAAATGGTCCCATCCCCGAGTTGGTATACACACAACGGACATCAATTCCCTTGTGAAAAATGAGTCCCTTGTGAAAAATGTCTCCATCCCCGAGTTGGTATACGTACACAACGGACATCAATTCCCTTGAAAAATGTACTCCAAATATTGATACGTAACAATGGACATGTGAAAAATGTCTCCAAATTGTTATGTTCACTCCGAGTTGTGAAAATACACATATATTTACAGGACATCAATTCCCTTGTGAAAAATGTCATTCAATATTGCAAAGTATTACCCCGAGTTCATTGATGGACATTTTGTGAAAAATGTCTCCATTCGAGTTGGTATACGTTCACAACGGACATTCCCTTGTGAAAAATGTCTCCATCCCCGAGTTGGTACGTACACAACGGATCATCCCCGAGTTGTGTACCCTTGTGAAAAATTCCATCACACCCCGAGTTGTGAAAAATGTCTCCAAGTATGACAGTGGACATCAATTCCCTTGTGAAAAATGTCTCCATACCCGAGTTGAACGTACATACAAATTCCCTTGTGAAAAATCTCATCCCCGGACATCAATTCCCTTGTGAAAATGTCTCCATCCCCGAGTTGTATACGTACACAATGGACATCAATTCCCTTGTGAAAAATGTCTCCATCCCCGAGTTGTATCAATCCCATTGTGAAAAATGTCTCCATCCCTGAGTTGTATACGTATACAACGGACATCAATTCCCTTGTGAAAAATGTCTCCATCCCCGAGTTGGTATACGTACACAATGGACATCAATTCCCTTGTGAAAAATGTCTCCATCCCCGAGTTGTATCAATTCCCTTGTGAAAAATGTCTCCATCCCCGAGTTGGTATACGTACACAACGGACATCAATTCCCTTGTGAAAAATGTCTCCATCCCCGAGTTGTGTACGTACACAATGGACATTAATTCCCTTGTGAAAAATGTCTCCATCCCCGAGTTGGTATACGTACACAACGGACATCAATTCCCTTGTGAAAAATGTCTCCATCCCCGAGTTGGTATACGTACACAACGGACATCAATTCCCTTGTGAAAAATGTCTCCATCCCCGAGTTGGTATACGTACACAATGGACATCAATTCCCTTGTGAAAAATGTCTCCATCCCCGAGTTGGTATACGTACACAACGGACATCAATTCCCTTGTGAAAAATGTCTCCATCCCCGAGTTGGTATACGTACACAACGGACATCAATTCCCTTGTGAAAAATGTCTCCATCCCCGAGTTGTGTACGTACACAATGGACATCAATTCCCTTGTGAAAAATGTCTCCATCCCCGAGTTGTATCAATTCCCTTGTGAAAAATGTCTCCATCCCCCTTGTGAAAAATGTCTCCATCCCCGAGTTGGTATACGTACACAATGGACATCAATTCCCTTGTGAAAAATGTCTCCATCCCCGAGTTGGTATACGTACACAACGGACATCAATTCCCTTGTGAAAAATGTCTCCATCCCCGAGTTGTATCAATTCCCTTGTGAAAAATGTCTCCATCCCCGAGTTGTATACGTACACAATGGACATCAATTCCCTTGTGA